AGATGGAAGAAAATATGTAACATTTTCAGAGTATTATGCTTTATTATTTCAGGAAAGGTAAAAACACAACTGAAATGCAAAAATATGATTTGTGCAGTGTATGAAGAAGGTGTTGTGACTGATCGAACATGTCAAAAGTGGTTTGCAAAGTTTTGTACTAGAGAATTCTTGCTGGATGATGCTCATGGTTGGATAGACCACTTGAAGTTGATAATGATCAAATTAAGACATTGAGAACAATCAATGTTATACCACAAGGGAAATAGCTGACATACTCAAAACATCCATAAAAATAGCAATAAAGTCATTGGTGAAAATGAAAAATGTGACTTTTATGGAAAAAAGTAACAGACTTTTTGCCCAACCCAACAATATTGTACATCAACTGTAACTGTAAAATAAAATTTTTAAACAACATATTTACTTAAATATACTTTAAGTTCATGGTAACTAGAATTTTGCATTTTATATACTTGATCCTTAACAATGATTGATGGATATTGCCTACTATCTTAGTTATATTACCATGGAAAATATAATCTTTAGCCCAGTAATGAATATTTGAAAGTTTTTTGAGGTGTAATTGATGTTTAAGAAACTATAACTTAAATGTACAATGTGAAGAGTCTTGGAATATGTATATGCTAACACCATTGGTATATACACTCCAATCAAACATGAACATGCCCACCACCCACCAAAGGTTTATCATGCTTTTTTCATCCCTTCCTTCCTACTACTGCCTGCCAGCTTTCATTTCCAGGTAACCCCTGATATATTTCTGTCACTGTACAATAGCTTCCATTTTCTGGAATGAAATCTACGTTGAATAGCCCCTTTTTTCTTTGGTCTGGCCTTTTTCATCCAACATAATTATAAGGAGATTGATCTATGTTTTTGTATGTATCAATAATTCATTCCTTTTTATCACCAAATAAAAGTAACAATATTCTATAGCATGCATACTCAATTAATTTATCCATTCACCTCTGAATAGACATTTAGATTATTTTTGGTTTTGGGCTTTTACAAATGAAGCTGCTATGAACATTAGTGTACAAGCCTTTGTGTGGACATAAGGTTTCATTTCTCTTCAGTAAATATATAGGACTAGAATAGCTGGCTTACATGGTAGGTATATATTAACCTTTTGAAGAAGCTACCAAATGGCTTTTCAAAGTACATTCCCACTAATAGTGTATGAGAGTCCCAGTTATTCCACTTCTTGCCAAACTCACTATGGTCTGTCTTTTAAATTTTAGTTATTATAGTGGATTTTTAGTGGCAACTCATTGTGATATAATGTATATTTCCCTAGTAATTAATGTTGTTGACCATCTTTTCAGGTGTTGATTTGCCACCTATCATCTTTGGTGGAGTATATTTAAATCTTTTGCTCAATTTTTTAATTGGGTTGTTTGTCTTATCACTAGGTTTTTTTCCTAGTAATTTTTAGAAAATAACGAGTTCTTTTATTTTGATTTTATTATTTTAAACTAAATTTATTGGGGGTGACATTGGTTCATAAAACCATATAGATTTCAAGCATACAACTCAACAAAACACCATCTGCACACTGCATTGTGTGCCCATTGTCCAGAGCAGTTTCCTGAGTTCTCTATCTACCCTGGATACAAGTTCTTTATCAGGTATGTGTTGTGTAAATGTTTTCTAGTTTGTGACTTGCGTTATCATTTTCTTTTTTCTTTCTTTCTTTATTTATTTTTAAATACATTTGTCTCTGCCTCCCCCCCACTTGTTGTCATTTTCTTTACAATGTTTTTTTGAAAAGTAAACTTTAATTTTGATAAAGTTTAATCTATAGATGTCTTTTATAGTTTGTACATTTCGTGCATAGACGTACAAAACCCAAGGTCATTAAAATTTTTTATGTTTTTTTTGGTCAGAATCCCACTTGGTCAGAATACCTTATGCTTTTTATATATTGCTGGATTCAATTTGCTGATATTTCGTTGAGAATTTTTGCATCTGTGTTTATAAAAGATATTGGTCTGTATTTTAAAATTTCTTTTAATGTTTTTTCTTTCTGTTTTTATATCATGGTAGTGCTCTTTTTATTTAAAAAATTAGGATGTACTCTTCTGCTTCAATTTTATAAGAGGGTTTGTATAGAATTTGTATTAATATTTCTCAAATATTTGATAAAATTCTCCATTGAAGCCATCTGGACATGGTGTTTGCTTTATAGGATGGATTTTAATCACAATTTTAATTTTTTAATAGCTCTAGGACTATTCAGGTTATCAATTTCTTCTTGAGTGAACTCTGGCAATTTTTGTTTTTCAAGGAATATGTTTATTGCATCTAAGTTGTATTCTTTGGCCTAAAGTTGTTATATTTCAATGTGTGTAGAACCATTAGTGCTGCAATCTCACTGGTCAAATATTGATTATTTGTATATTCTCTCTCCTTTACTTGATCTCGGTGGCAAGAAGTTTATCAATTTTATTGATTATTCAATGAATCAGCTTTCAATTTTATCAATTTTTTTCTATTTTATCAATTTATGCTTTTATTTTTTCATTGGTAGTAGTCCTTGCTTAGAAATCTACTTTGATATGAATATAGTCACTACAGCTTTATTTTAATTAGTTCTAAAGTGGTATATCTTTTCCTACCATTTTACTTTTAACATTTATTTATATGAAATGGATTTCTTGTTTATCGTATATAATTGGTCCCTGTTTTTTAAAAAAATCGAATCTGACATTCTCTGCCCTTTAATTGTTATGTTTAGATTATTTACATTTAATGTGATTATTCATATTGTTGGGTTTAAATATACCACCTTTTCTATTTGTCTGTTCTTTGCCCTCTTTTCCTCTTTTTTGGCTTCCTTTTGGAGTGAATAATTTTTAATTACATTTTAACACTTTTTATGGTTTTATTTGTTTTTACTGGTTGTTTTAGATGAACACTATACATTTTGTTCTTATCACAGTGCTCTTTCAAGTGACTTATACCACTTTTATCCTCCTACCCCTTACTCCCTACTTCTGGCCTTTGCTCCATAGTCATTATGCATTTATTTCTATCTATATTATAAATTGCCCAATATATTATTGTTATATTTATTTTAAAGAGTCAATTAGCTATTAAAGAGACTTAGAAAAATTACAGAAAGTCTTTTGTATATATTTACATATTCACTATCCCCAGTGCTCTTTATTACTTTGTGTCAATCCAGTTTTCAGTCTGCTTTCATTTTTCTTCTGCCTTTTAGCATTTCTTGTATTGTAGGTTTGCTGGTATGATTTTTTTCAGGCTTCACATGTCTGAAAAAGCTTATATTTTACCTTCATTTTTTAAAAGGTTTGCTTTGTATAGAATTTTTGGTTGCCAGTTTACCCAAATCTCATTGTATATTTTAATGATATTGTTTCACTATCTTCTGACTTGCATTATTTCTCATAAGAAGTCTGCTGTAATTTTTTATCTTTGTTTCTATATACATAATGTGCCTTTTTTCTCTAACTACTTTTAAGGTTTTTCTTTGTCACAAAATAAAGACATTTCATTATGTGCCTTGGTGTATTTTTCCACCTGTTTTTTGTGCTTTGGGTTTGTTGAGCTTCTTGGATATGTAGATTTATAGATTTCATTAGATTTGGTAAATTTTCCACCATAATTTTTTCAGAAAAAATATTTTTGTTCCTTCTTTCTTGCTAGGACCATAAATTCACATATATTAGGCCACTTGAAGTTGTCTTACAGGTGAATAATTCTTTGTATATTTTCTATTCTGTCTGTCTTGCAGAGGATTTATGGGTGTCTACCACTTTGTGGAGACCAACAATTTTTGCTCCAGCTGGCAAATGTCACACTTAGACAAAGCTTTGGGGCTAGTGTATATTCTTTGAAGATGCTTGGTATACGAGGACCAGTTTTAGGGCCCATGGGTGTAAACTAAATGTTAAGGTTGGAAGCTTGTGTGCAAGTAAAAGTATTTTAAATTTTTCCTGTGGTAACTCTGCTTTGCTTCTTCTTTAGTATTTAGATAATTTTTTCAAGATTTTTTTAGCTATTCTTAGCTAGACCAATGGGAACCGAGGGAAATATTTTTGATTAACCTTGGCAGCAACGTGACTACCTACTCCACCAATAACAAATACCTCTTTTCTAAGATAACTTTGAAGGATCTGCATTTTGCTGGATCAGGGTAGGGGAGTGATTTTCCTGACAAGATTCTTTACTGTCCTTTTCCTTCCCCATCCCTTCACCAACATATACTCTATCTCCTTGTCACAGACCCTTGCTCTCAAATAGCTGACAATTAATTACCAGATATTAATTGAAAAAAAATTTATGGGTTTTTTTTTACCCAAAAGGATATTTTCATTTTATATAATAACTCTTAAGGACTATAGGCTCTTCTGTAATGAAAGAAATTAATACTTAATGATGGAATTTCAGGTAGAAGGAAATTTATTGGGGACTGAGATCCTGCCAAACTGTACCGCTGTGTCCATAGATTTTTATGCCAATATACAACTCTCTTAACTGAGCCCAATCTGGGTTTTTAGTGTACTGTTCAGAATTAAAATTTAAGATAATTATTTTGGGGAAATTTTATCTATATATCACAAAGTAAATATATCAACTTAGACTCTAAAAAATGATAAACTATATATTTATGGTAAACATCTATAAAAACATATTTGTCAGTGAGTTAAAGCTAAGAAAAAATAGCCATAAGATATGAATGTGAGTTGGTTTGCTGTCATAGTTTGTTTGTAATACTAGATGTGACTTATGTGCAAATTATACATTCCTAAATTAACATAATTCTTTGTGATATTTATGTTCCTTGAAGTTTTGAAATGGGTAGATATTTACTTATTTCTACTTTACTTTGTTTTAGAAAAGATTTAGAGGATTAAAGTGAGTATATTTGAAAAGTATCCTTTAGAACATGTATATATTTGTTTAGCAGTATGTGAGATCTTTATTTTCTAACTACATTAACATTTGACTCTTAGGTATTCAGAGGATGACTACCTTCAGATTATCACAAATATACAGAGCTGTCCATGGAAACGACAAGTAGAAGAATATGAGAATTTTAGGTAAAAGTTTTTTTCATAAATAATATGAGATAAAAAATGTACATTTGTTTTGTACATTTTTGTACATTTTGCATGGAAAATAAGCAACATGTTTAAAAGTAGAAGGAATCAAGTGACAATTGGGATGATTTCATTCTAAGACCCTCTCATGAGGCACGCAGCACTCCATCCCCATCACTTATGTAGACATTTGTAATTTTGTTACTGGGATTAATTATAAAGTTCCCAAAATTAAAAAGAAGGTTTTTGTTATACTTTTCATTGTTTTAGAGAATATTGCTTCTTTTTTGTACCATTTGTATTTGGCATTTACTTACTTATTTTATAAATGAAATGTAATAAGCATTAGAAATGTTTGGAAAACATAGAAGGGGAAAAATCATCCATAATCTCATCACTTTAGAACAAAACCTGTTGCTTTTTCCCCCCTGCACATTCTCTTACAGTTTTTCTTATTACCTTTCTAATACCAGCAATGTTCAGGAGTATTAGTTGCTCCAGATAATAACCTGAGGAGGAGTCATCAACCTGACAAGACCAGGCTGTTCATTATACAACTGTTCTGTGCTTGGACAGCTAGTAGCCCACCCAGGCAGATATAAATTATGTTAAAGTATGTTATGTTATGTGCAGAGTGCACATGGATACATATCTGGAACCCATTCCCCCAATCCCTGAGCATATCGGGCAGCTAGGCCATACTCTCTGTGCTTGGCTGGTCTACATTGCTCAGCTTTGCTTTGCCCACGTTCTGGTTCTTTGCTGTGCATCAACATGGGTTTTTGTCTTGTGCCAGGTTTTTTCACTCTGTCACAATCCAGAAATATATTTTTATTTTTACTGGTTCATGTTTTCAAAGTTTACTTTAAGCATCGTGTCTTTTAAAAATCTTGTTAAGGACACTTCTCTTTCCCTGAACGTTCTCTAAGAAGTATCTGCTGCTTGGCTTTCTTCACTGTGGGAAAGCAGCTCTTCTTGTTGGCATGGTGCCGTGGCTTTGCCTGTTGCACATTCAGTCAGTACACACTGGAGTCATTGGACCAGCTGCCTTTGATTCTGCTGCCATTTGGGGCAGGTTTTTGCTCAACTCTCATTGGGTAAAAAAGGAACATCCTGTTTGGGCCATAGCTAAAAGTGAGTATCTTCCCTCCAATGGGTAGACATGTGGATGTTGTGACTTCCTGCTGGATACCATTAAGCATCTTTCCTGTCACTTCAGGATGAGGGACATGAAAGGGGATTCTTGTTTAACTATTTTATTTCCAGGATGTTGTATGATACATTCTGTTACACAAGGTGGGAGATAAGTTGTATGCTACATTCCATTTTACAGGGTGAGAGAAAAGTAGGTTTATAGTTGTTCATATCTACAATAATTAATAAATAATAATACAAGAATAAACTCTGTGTTTCATGTACTCCCAACTGTAAACCTACTTTTGCCCCACCCTGTATTCTGCCTGTGTCCCTTCAAAAGTCATAAGTTGGAAACCTAACATATAATGTAATAGTATTTGAAGGTGAGACCTTTGGGTGGTGATTAGATTATTAGTACAGATCACTCATGAATGGGATTAATGATTTCATAAAAGAGACCCTCGACTACCCTCTCCAACACTGCACCATGTGAGGACAAAGCAAGAAGATGGATGTCTGTGAAACAGGAAGTGGGTACTCACCAGATACCAAATCTGCCAGCTCCTTGATCTTGGACTTTCCAGCCTCAAGACTGTGAAAAGAAATTTCTGCTTTTTGTAAGCCACCCGGTCATAGCATTCTATTATAGCAAGTCAGACAAACTAAGACATAGTTGCATGTGACATGAGACTTGAGAGATCTTAGTGACAGAGACCAGATAGAAAGTTGCACAGGCAACTGTAACCTAAATGGTTACAGGGTCAAAGGGTGACAAAAGAGTCGTGTTCTAAGAGATGTTTCTACATGTACAGAATAGGCCAAAAAGGAAGAAGAAGATATCGAGGTATAGAGGTATAGAGCTATTGAGAATCAATCCAAGGTAATTATCTGGAAAGGCTAGATGAGTAGTGAAACCAATAATCAAAGTCAGGGTAAAAGACTGTCCAATTCTGGCCCTAAAGTTGATTCAGACCAAACCTCTGAGAACAATACAAACAAAACCAAGTATACTCAATGCCTGCTTGACGACATTGGTGAGCTACTATGAAGGCAGGGAGAATTTACAGAAGATCCAGAAGGAGAAACTGAGGGATGTGAGTCCACTACCTGGAGCTGATTTTCTTCTTCAGGTTTGCATACACAATGTCTGGCTTAATCCAAAAAAAAATATATATATATATCTTTAAAGGCTTTTTCTTCCTTTTCTTTCTCTTTAAAATAAAAATTGAGAGTCTCTTCAAATCCAAAACTGCATAAGAGTCACTGCTGCAAATTATGATGGCTAGAAGCTGTGTAGATGATGGATGGCAGGCACACAGAATGGCCATTTTCCATTTAGCATCACCTCGGCATAAAAAGTGCATCAGTAACCAAGATGGCCAATCACCCAATGGCCTAGCTCTCCCTTCAGGCCCTATTAAAGTAAACATCTGGGACTATAGTATTTACTGCTTATTGTTATTCAAGAGAAGGGTCATGGTGATATTTATTTTCTTATTTGCATATTTATTTTATTGTAATGTATTTTTATGGGCCTATTAGTAAACTAAATTATATAAACCCTCAACAGAAGTCTGTGCAAGTAAATCATAATAAACCACCCACTTACTTCCCTAAATTTTTACTAATAGAGCTGGCCAAATCTGGGGATTTTGGCTTATTTATAAAGCTGGTATTATAGAAATGTCTCCTATTATTATAGATGTGAAGTAACTAAACCGTTTTCTATTTTATTTATGTTCAACATTTTATACCAAATTGAAGAAAAGCAAAATGTGGGCCTTAAAAAAAAGGGTAATTTTTTTTAGCAGGAATTACAAGAGTTACATTAGATTCTGAAGAGTGTGAGCAAGTGAATGTTTTCTAAATCCATCTGCAACCTGATTGCTCAAACTCTTAGCAGCAAACCTAGGGGCTATTTGAAAATTATGCAACTGCTGTGGTCACATGATGTAAAAATAAGATAGCTTTTATGGATTATTTGTCTTAATATGCCACTTGCTAGCAGAAGGGATAAATTTTATTTATCAACAAAGATTTGTTTAAGATTTACCATGTCAAAGCACAGGAAACCCCTTCAACCTGGTACAAGGCAGAGTACAATGTAAGACCCCAGTGAACATATATTAAAAGAATAAATGCATGAAAGTAAACAAGAAAAATGAAGGTTTTTTATTGACCTCAAAGAAATTGTAGTCAGTTTGGAGAGACAAGAAGTAAAACTATGAATATATATAATTTAATGTCAAAATGAGTGATTTATACAAATATTGCAATATATCAGTGCATGAACACCATGAGACATAATTTCTTGAAGTGTTTTGTGGAAGGGGGCAGGACTTGTTCTGTGCATCTGAGGACGGGTAGAAGGGAGGGGAGAGAGCAATACAAGAATGATTGGCCCAGAAATAAATTTGCATAAGTTTCAAGACCAGCTTCACTAAAGCAGTGAACTTATTTATACTAGACAGTGTTTGGGATAAAGGGGATACTTGTACGTCAATAGGCATGCTCCTGATGATACACAATGTCCTGATTATCAGAGTAAAGTCCACAGGCTTTCTGAAGATATGCAGAACCCAATAGAGATATTTCTAGCAAGGGAATCACATGATGAATTTATTATTTTAGAGAACATATTGGTCAGCAAAATGTTATTCAAATTGGAGTCTTTCAAAGAAATGAATAGACTGAAGGAAAATGGAGCAGTCAAGGGCAGATTGTAGGAAGGGGACTGTAGAATGGTGCTCTAAAACATCAATTATAGCTATAAAAATATCAAGGACAGGACACTTGACTGTGAGCTTCTTGGGGCCATGGTGTGTTTTATTCACTATTGCTCTCACATAGATAGTAATAGTTATACTATATATGACTGGGAGTTGGCAGGACTAAGTTGATTATTAATTCCTAGTTTTCTAATTGAAGGAGAAGAAAAAGAAAGAGTTGAAGACAAATGAAACTTTTGGGTCTGGTTGATTGGGATAATAGCGGTGCTAGTGACAAATAGGAAGATTTCAAGTGGAGATTGTTTTTGAGAAGGTGAGCCCATCCTAGACAGGCTTTGTTTGAGCTGCCCTTGGCACAACCAGATACAGAAGACATTTTCTTTGTTTGGGGTAAATACAAATGTTAAGAGAAAATGGACTTTTCTGAAAAAGAAAGGTGAGTGCTGTTTAGAGTTACTTTACGTAGAAATATAGCCCTTTAAAAGCCTATCTTCTCAGCAATCTTTTTCCCCACTTAACAGTGTTTGTCCCCTTTTTATAGATTATTAAGCTTTTACTCATCAGCACTTAATTGTGCACCTGAGAACTTGTACCTGGGGTTGGTGCCCCTAACTTTTCCCAGCCTTTCCCTGGAAACAGGTGAGGTCCATGTCAGTGTGTCCATGGAGCCTGTGAAATTGTATGTTTCTTAGAAAAAGATCCTTAACTTTCATCAGATTCTCAAGGAGCCTAGGACCCCCTGATGGACTAAGATATTTCTCAGAACTCTTCGGAACCTGAATGTCTGTTTATGCTGGGATTTTATTGCTTGATTCACCTTCCTTATAGACATAGTTATCAGAAGCTTAGGTGGGGCCCTCCCTCAGATTTATCCCTCCCTAACATCTGAACATTCTAAGTTTCAGTCATGAACTGGGTTTTCTGTGAGATCTTAGTTGAACGTAGTTAAAGGATATAAGTAGGAGTTGAAGATGTCCCATCCCCCTGGTTTTTCCTTGTCATTTAATTTTATTTACATTCAGCTATATAACGTTAAGAATGTTGAGAGGTCTGACTTCAGCTTTTAAAATCAAAGTTGATTCTATTTCAGTTTTTTTCCTTAAACACAAGCTGATATACATATACTAATTTATG